ATGGTTTCGGTATGTAGGCGTGCACGCACACCTATACACACAAAGAAATTAGAGTGGTGCTAACATTTGCACACTGCAAATGAACAGTGTGCTTGATTCGACATTTGAAGAGGAGTTGACTCAAGGCATCCAACAAGTGGTACATCTCTTTCACAACATCGGCCAATGATCTAACTCAATGCCTGGTGCCTGTCGTAAAGCAAATCCATGCAAATCCTGTTGGGGCATATTGGATAGCCGGGCGGAGGTTTGCGTGGAAACCGCCAAAGTACGGTGAGACTGACAAACAGAAGCAGCATGTTTACTGCAAGTGGTACCGTTTCATATGCACACAATACCCTAGACTGGGCTCCAAATGCACACAAACGGGCTAAGTCAAGGACTTCAACCCTTTTGTGGTCTTCACACGTCTTCCTGTGACGTGATCGAAGCCGAGCGTACACCCAGCGTGCCAAAAGCCAAGTCACCCTGCTATGCAGGCATGCCAAGGACTTGCTGGCCTGGTCCCAGATTCCGGGCTCAACAGAATTCAAGAATTACATTTCACTAAGAGTTCGAATCTGTCCACAGGAGCGACTATCTCTTCAAATATCTTCAAAGGCCTTGGATTTCACGCAGTGAGGTTAGATTGGGAGGTGGTCAGTCGGCATTCTCTCTCTCTCTCTCTCCCTCTTTCCCTCCCCCTCCATCGGGTCACCCTTCAGGTCAGAACTTGTGGACAGCCTCATCACTCTTTCTTTCTGTGCATCACCCACACTTCTACCTTACCACTGCACTAGGAGTAGCACACAGGAGTATCCGGGTGCTTCAAATGTTGGTCATGCTTGGTCTTTGGATGCCTTTGGTCACCTAAACCAACATTGCAAATTTCGAAGTGCCATCTCATGTGTGTCCAAGTGTGTCCACAACTCTCATCTCATCATGCATCTACCATCAAAATCAAGATCAGCCGAGGGTAGCTTTGCTTATCTGTTTGAATTGGTGTATTCCAAAGGGGGACACTCAAAGATAGCAATTAATATAAGTTGTATTTTGATTGTTTTAAGTAAATAATAACTGAAACTCGTTGTTATGACAAATGCATTAAATGAAACACAATGTACAGTAACTTAAATGGTGCATAAATGACGAAAACGTTATTACATAATTGCAAAACATGTTGACCAGTATAACTCCTATCCTATCTCATGTGCCTCCTGAATGTGTTCAGTCAACTTTTCTCAGACACATGTGTCAGGACTTGTGCAACAAGCAACCCATCTCATAATTGGCACAACTCCTAGCTCATGTGGGGGTAGTATACAATCAGTGAAGCGGCAGAAACAAGGGTTCCAAGACCTCGGACGACCTCGGTTTTTTCGAGAGCCGCGACCCTGACCCTCTATGACGACTGACCCTTCACACCGGACACGTCCGTCATCAACGCCTGGCAGCCCATGGGCTCAAAACCAACCCCCGACAGCCTTGAGCCGAAGATGACAGCCGAAACAGGCAAATTGGAGGCAATAAGTGGTCATGTTCAGACCTTGGCCGACCGCCTCGAGCAGAATGCTTCAAGCCACACCAATGGGGAGCCGTCCATCCAAGTTAGGAGCCTCACACCCTTTCCACTGGTGGGGTGCTGGACCGGTGCTGGAGGTAAAAATCAGAACCGATACGCCGAGAAGCAAACTTTCTGGCTCATTTGCAGTCATTGCTTCGTATCATCATCTTTGATTGCTGAAGAAGCCTGGAAGAAAATAAGACATATTCCCCAGAAGGTGATTTACACATAGAGAAAGTAAAGCATTACCTCAAGCAAAAACCATGTCATGTACGTAGAGCTAGATGCTTCCCTACCCTTTTCTCCACTCGATCAGTGGGGAGGGCCTCCACCAATCACCACAAAGTCTTCATCAGAAAGTACCGAATGCAGGGTCCAAAGACTAAAGATGTCTAAAGTCTTTATGGTCCATGCCTCACCAACCACAAATATGGGGTCTTTTTGCGAATCTGTGACCGCCACATGCTCCTGGTTTTTTCACTCGCTCCTTCGGATCATGACACGCCATCCATCCCCGCCCTTTTGCTCTTCGCTCCACACGCCGCGCGCTTCGTACGCGGCAAGGCCCGTGCAGCGCCCGCAACTTGGAAGACCGGTGGGTTCTGCCGACGACCGGAGCATTGGAGTAGAGGGTTTTTTGCGCTTGGGCCGGCATGGACGGGCACAAAGGAAAGCGTCCTGTTGGTCTTCATGGTCAGAAGCTAATGAGAAGAAATGTGAATAGCCATCTTCTACGTTGGCTTTGAACATTTGAAGGGATATATAGGCCAAGGCACATGTTGAGCCCTGGAGCCCTCACTCTGGCCACATGCAAACTGGCCTATGCAAACTGGACCGAGGGGTGCATCAATAAGCTCGATTCCTCCAAGATCACGCAAAGACTGCGTAGATTCCCAATGGAATCTAATGATGAACAAAACCTACTAAGGATGGCCTCCAACCTACTAGCGATAACTTTGTAGATTCTTAATGGAATCTGGGAAAGTTTAATCACATGCGCAAAACAAATCCGATCGCTCAGAACTGGCCCATGAAGCACAACCACTGACATTTGCCTGTTGGTGCGTCTCTCCAAAGTTGCAAAATTAACCATATCCTGCTCATGGACTGCTCCCTGAAACCACGTCAAAAAAGCTGCTTTGACTCTGCTTTTGGAGGAGTCACCGGTCTTCCGTACGAAGAGGACATGAAGATCTTTGGTCTTCTTTAGGACGCACGCTCAAGCGCCTTCACGCTGGCTCTTGTGCCGTCCACCTTCGAAAGTGGACACATACAGTCAGCCATCCCCAATCCGAAACATATGACTTGTGTTTCACTTGGTGTGTTAGTTATGTTCTCTTGTTCACATCTAAACTACGTAAACTATAGTTATATTTGGCTCTATACCCTGGGGTTCCAACAGCCAAGTTTAACTTATACTTTTGTAAAAGACCAAGTAAAACTTAGTCGCCATTTGGGGACTATGTTTGACTAGCAAAGACCATGTTATGTCAAGCTCATATTCAGCTCATTTTCACACGCCGTTCTTGTTCGATCTCGCAAGATGGCTTTACCTCTCGCGATTCTAAGTCTCTTTGAAGCGCCATTTCAGCGTTTTCAAGTGGAAGCGGCTTAGTCTCAAGACCTGATGAGGATAGGACGATCGCCTTCGCCACTTCTTCAAGAGACTCATCCAATCTTCATCGCAAAAAGTGTGGATAAATCTTGGGTTCTGTCCTTGGAGCAAGCGATGGACATCATCCACAGCCAAAAAGGTGAAGCCTGGAAGCACATAGAAGAACATAGACGTTGTTCCTCAGACTTCACCTTTTTGGTTTCGATAATTTCGATATCCACAATTTGACTCCACTGAGACTTAGTCATAAATTTGGGCAGGAGACGGCCCAGAAGCACCACATCCCTCAAGACATGAAGGAAAGCCTCAGGAAACAGCAGGGTCTAAAAAAATATTGCGAAGGGATCGGTGCAAGGGCGATCAATTGACCATCCGACTATCCCGTACTCCAATTAACTTTGGGGGGATCCCGCTGCATAACATGGTGTCAATTTCCGTGCACGGTGGTGTTTGACCCAGAGCGTGGGTTTTGCAAGCGATCGACCTTGTGTGCATGACGCTCACACCGACCAGGAGTTGGTAATCTTTTGCACTCAAAGTAGCATGGAACTTGGGAACCATGATCCAGGACAGCCTCCCCGACCTTAGATTTAAACAAGCACTGTCCATCGAATCCCAGGGATGTGAACAAGCACTGTCCATCGATCCCACCTGGAGCTCTGGATAGACAGCTGCTTGAAGCATCTCAAGTAGGCCAACCCAGCACTGTGCAGCTCAAGCGATTCATTCCGAGACCTCAATCCCAAAACCAAGAACCCAGCCCCCGAAGCAAAGTGCGTGGAACTGGTACTGTTCTCCATTTTTACGAGGATGCGTTTGTTTCGCCATGCTGTGGATGGTGCCGAGCGGCAAGAAGCGTGAGGCGCGCTCGGAGAGGGCAAAGTACCGGCATATTCCCCTCCTTTGTGGCCAGGAGGGGCACAAAATGAATAGCTTTGGTACCGGTGAATTTTGGGAGATTGTGGTGGGTCCTGCAGGCCTTGTGATTGGGATCCTCCATCCTCCATGATTAGTTTCACCAGCGGACTTAGGGATTGAGTCTATCCTGGTGAGATCCTGGTTTCATGAAGTGTTGAAGCAGGGACACCCCCCAGGGTCTAGAATGAAAGTTTATACACCTCTGTGCGCCCCAATACACAAACAGGGTTCTCCATCCAGATATCAAATTGGTGTAGGTCGAAGCCTTCTTCATTCTTGGGCATTTCAAGCCTAGCCCATATAGTCAATGAGAACCTGACGCAACAGGTGAGGATGGTGCGCATGTGCATGCAGGGTCACGCGATAGATGGTAGAATCAGCACTGTTACTATCACAACGGGACACTGAAGCAATTGAACATTTGGACTGGTCATCGTCAAATTATGTTCTTTCAATCAAAGCGCAACTGCTCTCCTAAGAGCCAAACCCTGGAACACTATAGAACAACCACGGTGTGAAACCAAGCTTCAACGCAGCCTCTGCTAATCTAGATCGGTCATCACGATTCTGAAAGGCAGGATCGGAGTTCACCAAGATGAGGCAGTGCAACAGCCACTGACACAAGACACGGCTATTGAAACCTTTTGCGTTGAGGAAGAATCCATATGTGCCTGGCCTCACCAATGATTTCACACTGAACCGCTTTTGCGAGCAAGGAATCCTTTCCTGCTTCCTCCAAGCCGTGAAGTGAAGAAATGCACACTCGATAGCGTCATTAAAGTCATGTGCAACAGGTCCAAAATAGGCCATTTGTAAGAGCATCCCCCTTGGGCGGCGCATGGGTGCACGCCACATCCAAAACCCCAAACCTTTGGCCTACTTCAACAACAAAGCTGGCAAATTAAGGATGAATCCTTTTCGACTTCAGTCAAAGTTCAAAACCGAGCCATTGGAGATTGCAAGCATGCCCAAATTGAGAATGTGCAAGGTACAACCCTTCAGCAAGGATACCTCGAAGAAGCTAAGCTGCACCAAAGGACCTTACATTAAATGATTCTTGCATCAATCAATATGGCAAGGACACTATCGAACAATCCAAACCAGCAAAAATGGAATTTAATTACCCCCCGCAAGAAGCATTGTTCTTCACCCTGTGGGATCTCGTTCGCCACAAACTGCGCAGTGGTCCGCAAAGTCGAGGCCCAGCCTGATGAAAGGACACCCAGATCTGTGTAATCCAATGTATCGATGTCAGTGCAAGCTTGGCAACGGAAGCAAACCTTTTTGGCAATCCAATATGACTGGTGCCGGAACAGTTGACGAAACCAGACTTGGTCCCCACGAAGTTCTGTGCAAATGAATCGGCGGCCATCAATCCCGTGATCCGTCAAGTGGTTCAAGGACTCTGTGAGGCGATGAAGGATCGGGAAAATAGTTTTTTCGATCGAGGAGATTTGTTCGCTGTCCACGCAGAAAAGCATAAAACGTGATAGGCGGGTCGCCTTGGGACGAAACAAGGGAAAGCTCAAATTCATACCAAGCACTTTGTTCATGGGAGCGTTTTGTAGCCCGATCTGCGCTTCATCACCATACAGGCAGAGTGGAACAATTGGCATGCCTGCAGCCTGCCGGAACGCCCGAGTGCTCACGGCTACAGTGTCCTGAAATGCCTCCATGTGCGACCAGTATTGGCGAACGCGAACGTTGTCAATCGGCAAATGGCACTCTGACACCAAATAGTCCACAAGTAGATGAGGAAGAATCACAGGCACTACCAGTTCACCATCTTTGCCATTCGGCATTTTGGCAATGACTGTCACATTAACCGGTTCCTGGGTGCACGAACGACCAAGCAATCAAAACAAGTTCTAGGCCCGCACTTTGCACCATGAAAATACAAAACCGTTCGTTCACTAGTGCAGGAGTCCACTGGCAACTTGGTGTTGCGGAAGAAATCACGAGCTGGATTTCTCCCCCGATAACTTGCAAGTTTTGCAGTCCATCCAGAAGTGAACCCCTGTGCTTCCTCAGATGTATGAGCATGCAGGACTTGCGCGAACCAGTCCGCTGCACAACCCCCCCAGCACCAATGCACACGAATTAATCTTGGCCAAGATTCACAGTGCGTAGCTCTAGCAGATCTCATGGCCGCTTGAGCACTAGATTCCTGATCAGCCACGTGCTCAGCACCCCCAAACGAAGGAAACCAGGCAAGGCCGCAACGATACCATTTACCGGCTGCAATAATTTTAATGGCTCAGCTGAGTCTCGCCAGATGCCACACGCTCGACAAGGTCTCTCTCCAGTGGACTGACTGTATCAACACCAGCACCTGCGCCAAGTGGCCAAACAACGCCCTACCCCAATGTCAAAAAAACAAAAGTGTGCTTCCAACCAATCACTTCGAACACGACTGGCATCGAAATTGATTTCAAATTTCTTCCTCAAGCGAACGGTGCCGATGGAGGCCGGAGACTATAGGCCGAAGTTGAAAAGCCCAGCAAACCTACACACGTGTGGAAATGGGAGCTACTCGACCCTGCAGCCTCCTTGGACTGCTCCCACGTTAGCTGCAAACGCACACGCACCTGATTGCTAGGATCTATAGATCTATCACATCCCTGCCCCACATTCCTGGCTTTGTATGCATTCATGTATCGAGGGACCCCACCACAAAACAACTGTGTGAGACTATGTACTAGCTAGGTTAAGAGGGGGCAAGGGTGCATCGCACTCTACTTACAAAAAGCGCACCCGCTCACCGACTCACCCCATGTGATTAAGACTTCCTGGACTTCTTAATCTTTAGGGGTTCACAGGCTTTCTCCAACTCCTTCTTGGCTGCAGCGCATTGGTCGCTAGTGTCTTGCGACACCTGGCAATGGGTCACAAGTAACTTCAACTTGGGTGCCTTTTGGGGTGCATGTGCATGTACGTGACCATATATTGAATGAAGTTGAACTCAAATGCCTAGTAAATGACAAGTTGAATTGTCAAAGTGCCACGTGTGTGCCTGCCCAGCATCGACTTCCTTCTGAAGACTGGTACGGACATCCTGCCAGAAATTCCCAAAGTGCGGGGGACATGTAATGGACGATACCGCACCTCGCACACCTTCTTCTTATCCAAATAGTCATGCTTCACAGACTGTGCGAAGTTGTCGCTCCTGAGCATGACACAACTCAAGTACACCCTATTGTACTCATGAACCCAACCCCAACTTTTAAAAATGAGGACGTGGCAGATTCATGATATTGTTCTTCATCAGGTCTCCAGCCCACTTGATTTTGTTGCTCATCTCATTCACGGCCTTCCACACTGATGGTTGTAAGTGACAGGGTGTCTAGTTATGTTTCCCCATCAAACCCCTCCAAAAATGACCTGTTGCTACAGCTTACACCAGCTTGATGTTTGGCGCATATCCATGATGAGCCTTCTTTCCATCTTTCTTCAGCTGATCGGCCTGTTCTTTCTCGAGCCTGGCTTTCTTTTGCTCATCCGTCTCCTTTTTTTCTCCATCCGCTTCCTTCTCTGGCTTCGCCTTTCTCTTCCTGTCTTTCTCCTGCTTCTTTTCCTCTTTTTCGCCGCCCTTCCCACCTTTCCCAGTCCTTTTGGTGGTCTTATCCTTTATCTGATCCTGGCATGACCAATAAGCGACCAAGCGTACCCGGAACTGTAAACTCATTGGATCGGCTACAAAATTATATGGGACTGAACTGCACTGCTGTAGACACTTTCGTCTAGATCAAGCAATCACACCCCAAAAGAAACAGTCCTGCGTCTTCGGTTGTCTCTTCGGCTTTGCTCCACTGTTCTCATCGCTTTCACTGTCCACCGAATCTAGGGCTTCGTACAGTCGGTCAAGTTCCTCACACTCCTCCTCCTCCTCACTCTCTTCAATGAGGCAGAGGTACTGTTTGAACTCCTGGCTGGCACCAACACAGTAACCAAAAAGAATCCCTGCCAAGCTGCAGCCAAGGACAAAACAAACAGGACAGTTTATGACCGAACACACCCAAACAACTACTCAAAGATACTCAAATTTGGATTCTGATATATGATCTTGCAATTGTCACAGCCCCGCCTCCTGTTCAGGTAGCTCTGGATGAAAACGGACTTCACTAACTTTTAGCTTGGGCTCATTCAACTTGTGATCTCTCAAAGCCTTTGCTATTGGCTCTGTGAAGCGGTCCACCATCTCGTGAAAGAAAAGCCAACGGCGCACCCCCCTCTTCTTGGTTGTCGATCGGTTTCTGATTTGCAAGTAAAACTTGGATTGGTCCCACTTTCCATCACCACAGCTGGACCAGGCGTCATAGAGGACACTATTGAGACTCGAACCTCATTGGTGCACTTGACCGAGCGAATCGATATACCCACTCTCAACCTTTAGATGTACGTACAAATGCAGCATGCACACGATGTATACTAGATCATTCGAGCCGCTTCCATGGGCAGCTTGTCCCATTTTTCGAAGCTCTTTTGGAGTGTCTTTGTCTTAGCAGCAGTGGCAAGCGATGTGAGTATTGGAGTATTGCTGACATATATGGCTGACATAGTTCATTCTAAAAGTTACTTAGCTCATGACGGCGGATGTTGCGGAAATACCGCATATAGCGAGCATGGGCAGCTCGTCGGCGTTTCTCCAAATCTTCAAGATGCGCGATCTGAGAATCAGCATCAGCGCCCGTGGGAACCGCTTCAGCTTCTTTTTTCAGAGCTTCAGCCTTCTTGATAAGCTCCTGAGCCTCTTGGATCTTCTTTGCCTTCTCTGATGCGTCTCCAGGTTTCTCTTCCGCTTTCTTCTTTTCCTGTTCTTCTTGCTTCTTCTTCTCTTCTGCTGCAATCTTCTCGGCCTTCTCTGATTCCTCCTTCTGTTTCTCCTCAGCTGCCTTCTTTGCCTCTTCTTCTTGCTTCTTCTTCTCTTCTGCTGCAATCTTGTCGGCCTTCTCTGATTCCTCCTTCTGTTTCTCCTC